TCACAGCCCTGCTAGGAAAGGTGAGGTTTTTCCCTGCTGACAGCAGCACCACCAGACACTACAAAAAACATCAAACTGAGGGTGTTACAATAAAACCCTGACTGGTTTGGCTTGGAAGGGAACCTAAATGTCACCCAGTGCCACCCCTGCCATGGCAGGGACACCTCCCACTGTCCCAGGCTGCTCCAGCCTGGCCTGGGACATTCCAGGGGATCCAGAAGGAGGATTTGCCCTCCTTGGCTGGACTTGCCCCACCCAGGGAGCCTCGCTGGGCACCTGGAGGGAAGAAAGCAGAAATTCTAGAATATTTTAACCAACAAAGGTTTGGGGGTAACTCCATGGACCCTCAGGTTTGCAATCCTCAAGACTTTCACAAGACAGAATTCCAGAAGTGCTTCTAGAATGTAATTGTATCTGTGACCAGTGCTTCCAACTAATCATATTATTTTAAAGTTCCTTTGGTAATTTGTCCTTAATTCCACATAAACTGCTGCTCTGGCATAAAGTGTACTTTGTGATATCAAAGTCAAACAGATTAGGCATGATCCACTTCCAGCGAGGGAGTGTTTTGGAGAGGAGATGATATAACTTAAAAGCTAAAGCTGGCTCCCTGTTTTAATTAAAGGGGATTAAACATCCATCATGATAAGGGAAAAGGGACATTTTATAAAAATCAATTACCTTCCTCAGTGTCAGCCTGGTTTAACACCTGCAGTTTCTGAGAGAAGAAAGAGTGTGACATCCCACCAGCACTCAGGGAAGGTAAATTAAACACTGTTACTGTGCAGCAAGATTGGGAACAAAATACCTAAGAAAAATAACTTTATTACCCAATCGGGTGCACACTGTTGACAAAAAAATGAAAAAAAAAATGTTACTCTCCTAAAGTGTATCTGTATTCAGAGTTTCCTTCCCCACCCCAGGAAGCCTCCAGGTAAGGACTGCACATCTTTATGGAGATGAAAGGAAATGCTGCTGGAGCACCTCAGAGTCTAAAAATATTCTTTAGGAATTGCAAAGGCTGAGCCACATCCATTCCTCAATAAAATGCCATAATAACCATGAAGAATGAGGCCTGGCATTCAGCTTTGTTGCTTCTGTCATTATAAAATCAGTTTTTGCTTGCACCGTTTGACAATATGCTCAATTTTAGATCTCACACAGGAGTGTATGAGGTAATTATACACAAAATGTATAATTGATACAGGAAAAAATTCCCACCACCAGAGGTTTAATATGGGGCTGCAGAATTAAATACATTTCGGTTTTTTTCAAAACTTTGAGACTATGGAAAGGTGGCAATTAAATCCCTGACGTGAGAGGGACATTTTACTGCAATTTGAGAAAAAAAGGAAGAGAAAGGCTGGATCTGGAGCTCCCTGCCTGAGGGGCTCACATGAGTTTACACAACTCTTATTCACTCTGCCACTTGTGGGGTGCCCACAGCTCCTCCTCAACCTGCCAGCCTGATTTTCCAGCTGGGAGCAGCAGCAGGGTGAGAGCAGTGAGGAGCAGAACATCACATCCAGAGGGAAAATCCCCCTGGGATGGGGGCTGCAGAGCTCGAGAAAGAAATGCACTGCAATCCACAGAGAAATCATTTCATGAGGCTGCAAACAGGAAAATGGCTGTTTGCCATCAGCCCCCTGCTCTCCCCCATCACTGGGGGACTTTTCTTTGCTCCTCTGCTGCTCTTGGGGCTCATCCCACCCTGCAGGTGCTGCAGCCTGTCCTGCCCTGACATTCAGAACTCAGGACTTGCCACACCAGGCACACCTCAGCACAAAGCAGCCACTTCCAGCAGGTGAAGCCACACACGGATTTTTACCTGCAATCCCCACAGGGGAAACCCAACATTGCAGAGACAGAAATGAGAGAAAATTAAATATTCAGTAATGACCCCCCCCCTAGCCCAGCAGAACAATTCCTTTGTCCACCCAGAGATGGTTCTTTGTGGTGCAAACGTTCCAGAGCTCCCTGAGAGGGAATTTCAGCTCTCCCACAGCATCTCTCCTGTGAGAGGAACTGCAGGAGCTGGGCCTGGCCAGGCTGAGAGAGGAACCCTGCAATCCATGCAAACAAACACCAATCCATGCAAACACACAGCAATCCATGCAAACAAACACCAATCCATGCAAACAAACACCAATCCATGCAAACAAACACCAATCCATGCAAACACACACCAATCCATGCAAACACCCCCAGGGGTGTCAGAGTGTCCCACCCCAACCTGAGCAAGAATTTCTTTCCCTGGAAGGTGGCAGAGCTCTGGGGAAGCTGCCCATGGAGTCTCCCTCTCTGGAGACATCCCAAACCCACCTGGACACATTCTTGTGTCACCTGCTCCAGGTGACTCCACCTTGGCAGGGTTTGGATTGGGGAATGTCCAGAGGTCCCTTCCAACCCAAACAATTCTGAGATTCTGGGAAATAAACACCGATTTTTTTTTTTTTCCTAAAACCCACTCCAAGGAGGTTTGTGAGGGAAGCACTCGTGTCTCCCCTCCCCTTCAGAGGCAGCAGGGCTGGTGGCCCCTCACCCTTCCCACAGCCTGGAGAGGAGCACCCCAAGATAATTTATGGGAGACACAAAGAAAGAGTTACGGTTCTTAACAGGCAATTTTGAAGCAGATACTACCAATATACAGAGTCCTCGGTTCCACTGAATAAATATCTCTGACAGCCAAACAATAACTCTGCCTCTTATTTTAGAGCTCAACCCCAAAGTGGTCGAGTTTGTAACTCTCCACACTCCTGCTATTCCCTGAGGTGCTTCCAAGATGATCACTGTCAGAGCCACGGGAGTCTATAAAAAAGGATGAAGGCAGCTGGGAAATTTCCAGCAAAACAGAAGGGAACATTTCAGGCCTCCCTGAGCAAAGGCAGCCTGGAATTCCATCCACGCAGTCCAGGAGCTCCCCCAGCTGAGCTCTGCGGAGGCTGCAGCCACTCCACAACAGCTCGGGCACCTGGAACGTTCCAGATCTGCTCCCGGGGGACTCGGATTCACTCTTTGCACCCAATGCTTGTTCAGAGGAGAGCGGGAGAACTCCTGGAGAGGAGCTGTCACAGAGCACAGCAAGGAAGGGTTGGCTTGGAAGTGGCAAAATCCTGCCTGGTGCTCAAGGGAAGAGCAGGGAGGTTGTGCCAAGCCAGCAGTGCCACCCTGTCCCAACCCATCCCATCGTGTGTCACACACTGCCACCGACCTGTGGAAACTCCACTGAAGGGGAAAACCTCCTGCTCCAACCACGGCCTCAAAACCTCCTCAAAATTCTCATTTTCCCCCCAGCTGGGGCAGCTTTAAACACGGGATGGCTGGAGAAAGGATGGAGCAACCCAAGCCAAACCTCAGGGCAGCTGCTCCCACCCCTCCTGGAGCAGCCCAGTCCTGCTGGGACCCTGCTGGGACCCTGCTGGGACCCTGCCGGTGTCCCCGAGCTCCTGCTGGGACCCTGCCGGTGTCCCCGAGCTCCGTGGGCAAAGGGAATGAGGAGCTTCCCGTGGGCTCTGGCACCATCTGCTGGAGATGGGATCGGGAAAATGGGTTGGATTGGAACGAAGGGATTCTGGAGGAAAAACTGACAGGATCCAAACTGAAGCACGGAATATCCTGAGCTGGAAACCCACAGGATCATCAGTCCAAGCCCTGGCCCTGCACAGGACACTCCAACAATCCCACCCTGTCCCAGAGCAGTGCCCAAAAACTCCTGGGGCTCTGGCAGCCTTGGGGCTGTGAGCATTCCCTGGTCAGTCCCAGGGGGAAGAACCTTTCCCTGGGATCAAGCACACCCCAGTCCTAGCCCAGAAATACATTTCTGGAGCTCAGCCTTGTTTACCAGAGGTACCACAAGAGATTCTGCAAAATCCTCGTGCCTTGCAGCGTGAGCCCAAGGATCAGGAATGTTGGGAAACAGATTCCATGACGTGCTGGAAGGGTTTTTAAAATTCCCATTCCCGTCCCACAGAGTCAGCCCCTCCTCTCCAGCCCTTTCCAGGCCTGGAAAAGAGCACTGGAACCATTCATTCACAGCCTGCTGGCTCCTGGGAGCCTTTCTGTGCCACAGGCAGCACCACCCACAGCCCCGGGGGTGGGAGGATCTGCCAGGGCACGGTGACAGCAAAGCCTCCCTGTGACATTTCTGCTCTCATTTGCACGTAAATGTCAATATTTATTAGTCACATCAAGATCTTCAGCAAAGCTCCCCTGGGTTGCTGAGTTTCTGCGTTTATACTCTTGAATTATTTTTTTTAAAAAAGCAAGTTGGCTCTTGGTAACTTACTCCAGACTTCCTACATTCTCTATTTCATCCTTAACTATCTACTGCTTTTGTAGAAAGTTATTTCCAACCAGTCTGTGCATCCACAGTGTTGAAAAATGCTTTACCATCATGCCAAAAAATGACCATGGAGAAGTAACCTTTTCACTTAACTTGTCCCTGGAGCTGTGAACATATTTCTGTATTTAAATAATGGAAATGTGAAAGCAACAGATGTTTCCTGCCTAGAGCACAGTGCAAGAACAACAGTGTTTCACTATTACAGTGCCTCTGAAGCATCCACACAATCCCATCCCCATTTGCTCTCCTGTGCATTAGTTTGCAGAAATCCCCAAGTGTTGAAATCTGGTTTTAATCGTGATGTCAACAAGTGTCCCTAATCCTGCTGAAAGTCAGGAATTAGGGCTCTGAGCAAGCCAGCATGAAAGAAAGTGAAATTGCTTTTAAATGTAGAGAAGGAGGCAAGAGGAGAGAAAAAAAAAATGGGAATTGAGAGATGAGGTAAACCTGATGGAATTCGGTAGAGCTGGGAAAAGGAGATTTTAGTGGTGTCCAAGAGCCAGCCCTCACTTACCAGGATTTGGGCTCCCCAAAATGCAAGTAGTTGATGCTGTAGAGATCCATGTCCTCTGTGTGCCAAGCAAACGTTGTCTTCCACATCCCAAAGTAGAGGTAGGGAGTGTTCACACCCTCGATGATGATGCCACACTCGTGCTCCACCATGTCCAGCAGCGTGTTCAGATTGCCAATGTTCCACTCATCCACGTCCTGCAGCCCAGGAGGAATGGTTTGCACTGGGAATGGTTTGTACTGGGAATGGTTTGCACTGGGAATGGGGTTGCACTGGGAATGGGGTTGCACTGGGAAATGGGGTTGCACTGGGAAATGGGGTTGCACTGGGAAATGGGGTTGCACTGGGAAATGGGGTTGCACTGGGAATGGGTTTGCACTGGAAATGGTTTGCACTGGGAATGGGGTTGCACTGGGAATGGTTTGCACTGGGAATGGGTTGTACTGGGAAATGGGGTTGCACTGGGAATGGTTTGCACTGGGAATGGGGTTGCACTGGGAATGGTTTGCACTGGGAATGTCAGGACCCAGCACAACCCACAGCTCCCCCCCAGTGCTCAGAGTGCAGACCCCTGCTCCCAGGAATTATTATTTATGATTAGTTATTATTCTTGATTATTATTATTATTTATTATTATTTCTTATCTATTATTATTTACTGGATGTTCCTCTCTGCCCACAGGCAGGAGGGAGCTCCAGCACTCTGAGGAGCCTCTTGCACTGTGCAACACCCCAGCATTAATTAATTATTCTGGTAATGACCACAGCATAAACTCAGGGTGAAGCACACTCCTCTCAGCTGTTCTTCCCCTGCTCAGAAACATCTCAGGGTGGCCAGAGGGGCAGAAGCTCCTACCTGAGCTCAGGGCTTCAGGGACAAACACAAAGCACCTGGAGGAGAGCTGGGTGCCACCCTGAGCACAGCAGGGACAGGAGGTGACACTGCCAGCCAAGCACCCCTGCATGTCCACGCCCCTGAGCTCCTCAGATATCCCTGCTTATTCTAATTAATCCCATATGAAACCACACTGATAATAAAAAGACACTTGTACATTCACACCCCATCAGACAACACTCCAAAAAAGGTCACTTTCCACTCAAAAAGAAAACTACAGAGCAAGAGATTTAAATTATCTGCCTAAAAAGAGTAAGAAGAGAGAAACCTTTATCATTTAGAGAATTACTTGAAGTAGAGGATGAAATTTCACCATGGAAAAGCTTAAACAATTTGAATTGTAAAATAATTCAGTGTGCAGGTGTATTGTATCCTAATGGAGCTGCCTACAAAGAAAAATTCCAAATGCAAATAATTTAAAATCCAAATGCAAATAATTTATTTATGTTAAGAATCAAAAAAATATTTTTGAAATGCTGCTTTTTTTCTGGCATTCTGAGGAGCTTCAGCAGAAAACTCCATTTTATTCCCTTAAAAAAAAGAAACAAAACCTAAGGTATTGATTTTTTTTTTGCCACAGTCTGCATAAGAATTTGTTTAAATCACACTTTTCCTCATTTTTCTACTAAAAATCAGCTCTTCACAGCTTCCACTGACAATTATCCTGAATCTTAGGGGAGGTTTAGTCCCACTTTTGTAACGAGGGGACAAAAACCAAAGGCATCGAATTTTTTTTATTTTTTTTTTTAGGGTGGCTACACCAACGAAATTCTGAATTACTGCTCCTTCATGAGAGAAGTGCAATAGGGAAGTCAGTGTGTGAAAATGAAGAAAGGAGAAAAACTTCACTTACTGCATCGTACAGGGAGCCACTGATGTCAGCCCCATAGATGGGGGACACAAAGGTCAGGTTCTTCCAGTACTTTCTTTCCAGGTCCTCAAAGTCCTGGTGCCGAGGGGTGCAGTACCTGCCAGGGGGCACAGGCATGTCAGGAGTGCTGGGGGCAGCACAGCAATGGGAAGGTGCATTTCAGCTTTAATTCACTGGATTTCTGCCTTTCCCACCTCTGCACAAACCCTGTCAGGCTGGACATGCCATCCCATCCC